AGGTTTCCTGGCACTAGAATCAGCAGCCTTTAAACTACTCCAAGGACAAGAACTGACCAAGCCCCACTTACCTAATTTAGGCCCTTACCCTACTGAATTTACTTCTGTCTGTCTTCTGCAAGACCAAAAGTTCTACGAGGCCAGAAACCAAGCCCCAGTCATGCTTTTGTTCTTGGAACACTAATTCTTTCTAGAAAGAAATGTATATTCTGTGCACATGTCTCTGTATTTTCAGACATAAGTCATTTAAGGTAAACCCAGTTCTACCAGCCTCATCTTTAGCATCAATGAGCAGACTTCAAAATCACAAGCCCTTAAAGACATCCCCAAGGCTGTCCTTTTGTAAACCCCACTGTAGGTGCCCTGGACCCTGAGCTTTGTATACAGAAGAAATCTGGGTCAAACGAATATACAGGAAAGGCTCAGAAAGAAAAAATGGACAGAGAAGGCTCCCAGGAGCAGCATGGCAGACCTGCTTTCCCAGGAGGCAAGCCACTGCCCTTTGGAGATCACTGGTCATTGACCACTGCCTCAGTTATTACTAAGTGCTACCTTCCAGTCCCACGCCACATCTCTGCATGTGTCATCTCACTAGTGGCTATGTCTCCTGACTGACAGATGAGGGAATTTAGTTCAGAAAAGTCAAGCAACTCACCCACATTCACACCACTTCCTCATCTATGTCCATTCCACCTTACCAAGACACCTTTTGTATTCCAAGAGTGCCACAGATTTTCTTAAAACATCCATTTGTGATTGTCACCTGCCCCTGCCTGGCCCCTTACCCAACACAACTCCTGTTCAGAGGTGACACCATGAAGAGGAGCAGAGGTTGCCGTGTGTAGGGTTCAAGACTGTTGGCTCTGAGAAGTGGCTCTGAGCCAACAGGAAAGATGGGCATCCAGAGTGGCAGTTTGCAAGGAATGGCATGGGTCCAGCCCTTGGGATCCTCCTGCTCTAGTTCAAGCTGTCTGTCTATAAAATACTATCTGAGCTCACAATAACGGATCACGCAAAGAACCCCTCAGTTTATTCTATCATTGAAGCTACACAGCACCCTCCCTAAGGCAAGATTCCATCACCATGCTAAAATGAAGAAAGAACAACTCAGGAAGGAAAAGTCACCTGCCTTACTAGTCACACAGCTACTAAGTGGAAGAGACAGGTTCAAACTCAAGTCTTCCCTTGCACTGAGCCTTGAGAAGAAACAGTGAGGGATGTGGGCTGGATAAAGATAAAACAGCCTTGGTGTTGGACCAGATTTCTCCAAACCACATCCTCAGCCTCTGCCATACAGTTTTATCGGATGACTTCTTTCCTCGTGGTCAACCCCAGACAAGATGGCAGCCAAGCTCAGCACGTGCATCTCTGACTACCCACGGCCTTCTGGGAGTGCAGCAGCCTTTGTCAGCGGGAGAGAGGGTGATCAGAGGTTTCTTCTGGCAATAGAAAATCATAAGGCATATGGACTGACCACAGTTTTGACCTGGGACAACTCTGTTCTAATTCAGGGAGCATATACACAGCACTTTACAGTGCTGAAGCCAGCACTGTAAAGTCCCCAGGGTGCTAGATGTCTGAAATGACAGAGGACAAAAAAGAGAGGAGTATGTGAGGTTCATGAAAATATACTGTGAATATTTAATTTTTTATATTACAGTAAAAGACACATTGCTATTAATCCCTTTTAGAAACCTCCCCCTCCTGCTTACTTCAAGCACACTTACCCCAGTGTTCTTGCCACTTTCTGAAGCAGTTCTGGAAGTGCCCTTTCATGAATGTCTTTCAGAAGTTTGATCAAAAACATAGTGAACACTGTTGCCATCCAGTGGAGAAGCAGGCTGGTAAAAACATGATGTGTCCTCACTCATGGGACATCAGAGCTGGTGCAGTGTGACTTCTGGCTCTTCCCTAAAGTCAAAAGGGATTCAGGATCTCAAGGCAGCCATGACAGTGAAACCAAGCACACTCAGAGAGCCAACAGTTAAGGCTATAGGAGTTATTTTACAACTCCTGTAACACTCAACCTGGCTAAGAGAATAGATAGTGCTTGGGCTCAAATCCCAGTAACATCATATTCAGGCTCTGACCTGTCTGAGCTGTTTTCCTCATCTTCACAGGGCTGCTGGGCAGAGCTGAGATACTAAACACATAGCTTTAATTCCTTGGTGAATCCCAGATATAGTACTCACTGCTGTGTATTGCTTAGCTCCTTTAATCTTGAGGGATCTGGGAAGTAGAGCTCTTTCATCACTACTTTATATTGAAGACTTCATCTCAGAGAAGGTAAGTAACTCCCCCAAGGCACTCAGCTAAAACATACTGGTGCTGGGAGAATAAATGTCAGCTAGTCGTGGCAATTCTGCTTCCCATCTATGAGCACCTGGAAAGCAGACAGCAGGACCTAGGCTGAGGCTTTATTAATTATGAAATATTCCAGACAGGCAAAATTATGTAACATTACAGACACCCACGTGGCACTCAGGCTTAGGATAAAATATTGAGCTTGAAGTCTCTGCAATCTTAACCCCTTGAATCATTTTCCTCCTCACCCTACCCAGACAGTGCCCATCTTTCATTTGCTTAACAGTGTTGCCGGAGCAGTTGCTCCAAGCCAGGTGTGACTCTCAGATGCTAGCCTGCTCTACTCATCTTTCAGAATTGGGGATTCATCACTTGCATATCCATTTTATACTGTTATCATATACTCAGGTATCCACTCACAATATTGGGTATATGTTGCATGGCTTGAAATTTTACATAAATGGTAAAACATGCATGAAGTCTTCTGAAATAATCATGTCTTCTTTGTTCTTTTTTGAGACAAGGTCTCACTATGTTGCCTCGGCTGGTCTAGAACTCATAGGCTTAAGCAATCCTACTGCTTCAGCCTCCAGAATAGCTAGGTCTACAGATGCACTACTATGCCTGGCTGAAATATTGCATCCTGATAATATTTTCCTTTTAGGAAAAGAGTAAGAACACCTTATGACTACATTAAACATCATAATAATAAGTGCATTGACGAGTTGTAAACACATCTCTAAGACAGGCACTTCAAATCTTAGCCTGCAAACATCTTTTTAAAAGTGCTTTTCAGAAGTTAGGGAGCTATCAGAAAGGGATATGAAGAATGCTACGGTAATTTGTCCTATTCAAAATTCCAGCTGGGATCCCAGTGATAAAATGATAGTGATCATAATACAGCCTTGCCTTTGTAGAGTGGGTTGACATTTTGAAAGCATTACTCTCTTGGGAGGGACCATCATGTTAGTAGGAAAATAGTGTTCCCAGGGAAGAAACTTCAGACACTGCATTTCAGCTTCATTTTCCTTCATTACTGTTTAGTTGGGTGGGTCTTTCCGGGTGTATCTTCCAGAGAAGCTCAGTCCAAAGAGAATCTGGGACTTCTTGCATGTAGTTGGGAGGGGATGTGTCTCGCTGGGGATTCCCAGTAAGTTAGGGCCTTGGTAAGGAAGACGTGGACAATCTGCCCAAAACCCTCTTCCTGTCTTGGGGTACCCTGTCTGCTACCTTCCAGACCCCTGACAAATATTCCCAGCACCCTCTTGCTGATACAGAGTATCCAGTTATGCATCTTTTCCTTTCTGCTGATACAGAGTATCCAGTTATGCATCTTTTCCTTTTCCTTTATGCATCTTTTCCTTTCCTTTCCTTTCCAATGTGCAACTCCTGCCTATGTACCCCCACATTGCCCCCTATTCCCTGAAAGTACACCAGTATCGTCTGAGAGTACCTATTGCTTAGCCCATGGGTGTCCAAGTTTTTTACTTGCCTGGGCTACATTTAGTGAAGAGGAATTGTCTTCTTCATATAAAGACCATATATAAAGAATACAATATAGTTAATGTATGTAACAACACCTCCTTTATTTTTAATATTTTTATTATTAGAATGAAATAACATCAGCAAAAATCTAATAATTAAATAATAAAACTTACATATCTGCTTAATAATGATATTGTATGGCTTAATAGACACATACACACACACACACACACACACACACATGGGGGGGTAGGTTGAAATACTATTTTTTTAACTGCCAAGTGGCACAAGCATATGTAATACCAGATTCACATTCTCTGAGACATCAGAAGCTTGGAGGAAAAAAAAATGTAGTGTGGTAAACTGTCATAAAGCCATGAATTCCTTTTTTAAATTATAACATCAATGATTTCATGCAAATAGTCTACATTCTAATTGAAGATGTAAAAGTCTCTTTCAGAAGGCAGCACAGCCAATTAAAGGCAGAGTCTTGATTCAAATTGAAGTCCTCTGAGACTCACCAATGTTTCCTTTGTTATTATAATGCAAGTTCTGAGTCTTAGAAGAGAAGGCAAAGCTCACCTTCCTGAGCCACTGGAAGCCCAGCTGAGTATCATAGAGGACTCTGAAACTACCGCCTCAGAACAGGAGAGTGTCTGCCACCTGCTCACAGCATTTAAGACTGTGAAAGATGGGCTTGAAATGAAATCTAATGATCAGTATTCACTTTTATGACATGGTTTTAAAAATACAGAGTCTCATAAAGAGCCACCAGGCCCCACCAAAAGCCTGTTAAGTGCCTAGAGCTTTTATTTCACAGCTAACAATCTGAGTTCCTCACATGTCCCCACTAATGATGCCCCGCATGACCCCGAGCCCCTGGCTTAAACTTCTTGTGCCTCATTTTCTCTGTCTGTAAAAGGGAGATAATGACAATAGCTACTGGACCGTGTTGGCAACATGCTTGGCGATTCTCAGATCAAAGGTGCTCTGCCTGGGCCAAGCAAGATGATGATGGTGCTCATCGTCATTAGTGTTGTTATTATTATTGTTGTTGCTTGGAGTGACCATGTTGCAGCCCAGGAAGTAGACGTGACTCCCCAGGCTGATTCAGCATCAGAAACAACTGGAAAGGCATATTTTGCACTACAGAAACTACTGCTGTTGAGACTGTCCTTTGCACGTCACATTCCTAGACTTCCTTTGTGGCAAGAGGCATCATCCTCCTTGGAGACTGCGCCATGCCTTAAGTACCTCCAAGATGTAAATATCTGTCTTTGAGGGAAGAAGACCAGTGAGAAAGACACCATTATTTATTTGGCGATAAGGTTACCCTCATCGTACAGCCGGTTAAAGAGCCCTGGGCTCACAGCCAGGAAACATTAGATTAGAGTCCCAACTCCACCACCTTATGACCTTATGCAGGAGCCATAATTTCTCAGGGTCATCATTTCCTGATTATAATAAGGATGTTATTTTAGTGATTGTAAAATAATGATCACTAAAGTGATCCCTTGGCCTCTTGGTCCTGACACTTATAGTGACCCTAAAAGTCACAACCAGGGATTCAGCCCAGACAAGGTCTTGCCTAGCACATTTCTCCATGATTTAATGATAGCGCCTAGCACTGCTCTTCCAGCTGGGCTGTCACCACATGCAAGCAGTTCTAAGTCTGGGACAGGAAAACGTACTCAATTTGTTCTGGAATTTACCAGAGAACTGGAAACTCAAAATAGAAACCCAAATTCTATGTAGTGGTAAACACCTAGTGTGGTTCTCAAAGTGGGCTCACATGGGACCATCACCTTAGTGTGTCCCATATATAAATAGTCACTCATCTGGGTGGGTGAATTTGAAAAGAAACCCCTTAGGGATGCTCGCTGTCTGTGGACACCTGGCTTATCAGCAGATTTTATGTTGTACAAATGGGCGCAGCCATCTGCCAGAGCCTGAGTCTTGATATGTAGAGCGTGAGCTAGATTTAACACCTCAGATACCCCTTAGCCTACACTCCTAGGAGTTCTCTGGAGCCCCTTGTGTACCTTGAAGAATTGCTAGGAAGCCTCATCCCTACCACCATCAACTAATTTTTATTGCTTTTCATGATATTGGCCATCCTTCAAATTTTTTGTTTACATAAAATGAGATGTTTAAATGTTTAGATTTTATATATATATATAAACAAATAAATAAATAAATAAATAAATAAAACAAACAAATAAATTGTTTATATATATAAACAAATAAATAAAATGATCATTTGGAGAGTTATAAAAGCTCAAATGTGGAAAAGATATTTTCTTAGACTATGTAGTTTGAAGAAAGAAGTATAAGAGTTTTTAGTTTCTGTGAGCTCAGGAGTATAAAAAAAATTTTTTCCTGTCTTATTGGATGTACTTTCTACCTGGGACCTCTATTCTGATTAATGTAGGATAATTAGTTTAGTTACTTTCAAGTAAAATAAGTCTTCACCCATGTTTTTGAATCACCACTTCATCTCAGTGTCTATGTATATGTGTGACTGTGTGTGTGTGTGAGACAGGAGTGTCATCATGTATACAATGAAAAAAGGAATTTACCTCCTCTGTTTTGGTCACATGCTGGCCTGTGACTTCCGATGTAAGTCAGCCCTCCTGGTCATGTTCCATGCGTTAGATGCCTGGAAGCATCATCCAAACACTCTCTGGCTTCTTTCATGGAATTTGTTATCATTTCAGCATGGAGCCCCTACGGGTGTCCCAGCTCTGGGTTTTGTTTTCTCTTTTCTCTTCTCTCCCCTTCTCTCTCTTTGTCACTCCTTCTCATGCCTTCTTTCTTTATGGGGTATGAACAAAATATATGGTGAATGTTTAGATTTTTTTTTTTAATAATTTATTACAGTAAGTGGCACATTGCCATTAATCCCCCTCCTTTGGACACAGTTATCCCATCATTCTTGCCACTTTCTGAAGCAGTTCTGGAAGTTCTCTTTTGTGAGTGTCTTTACACGATGTGATCAGTAATACAGTGAATGCTACTGCCAAGTCAATCCAGCAGAAAGGTAGGCTCATAAACACACTACAGTGCATCCTTATCTGTCTTATTCACTGGATCGGACATGTGCAAATTTTGGCTCTTCCTCAAAGTCAAAATGATCATGAAAGGTAAACATCAGAATGTTTAGTATGAATCAATTCAGAACATCAAAGCAGGCACAATAACACAACTAAAGACATTCATGAAAAGGACTTCCATAACTGTTTTAGAAAGTGTCAAGAACAATGGAATAAATGCATTTTATTGCATTGCACTGGAACAATGGAATAAAATTGTTCCATTGTTGGAACAATGGAATAAATGCACTCAAAATAAGTCTTTTACGGGAATTAATGATAATGTGTCTTCCACTGTGATAAATTTTTTTTAATTTAAATATATTTGACTCATGTCTAAATGATTTGTAATGCCCAATACAATATAAATGTTGTTTTTTGTTTTTTGTTTTTTGTTTTTTGTTTTTTTTTTCCTCTGGTACCGGGAACCGAACTCACGACCTTGCGCTTGCCAGGCAGGCACTTTGCCGCTGAGCTAAATCCCCAGCCCCCAACAATATAAATGTTAAGTAAATACCCGTTATGCCATATTGTTTAGGGAATAATAACAAGGAAAAAAGTTTGTCTATGTTCAGTACAGACAATGTTTCTTTAACCCATGATTGGTTGAATCCATAGGTTGGTTTAATAACCTACAGATATGAAAAGCTGGCTATATATTATATTTACATACATATGTACAGTATCTAAATATGATATAAAAATATTGGTAGTAACTGTTCCTACATATTTGCTTTCTGTTTTCTTTATATTTCCAAATTTTCTGAAAAAAACTAGCATTGGTTTTGTAATCAGAAAAAGTAAGAAAAAAGTTTTGGTTGTGTTCAGAAGATAACTCGTGTGGTGTGGAGAAAATAGAGGAAAGCCACTCACATGGACTCAGGCAAAGCATTTACTGCTCCTGGAAACGCACTAAGACCAATGTACCAGGTTCTGGAAACAGCTCCTCTCTTCCCTGCCCTTCACAAATGGCGTGAGTCAGGGTTCCTACTGGAAAACAACAGAGCCCAAGATGACTAGTTCCTGCAGAAAGAAAATTTATTAAGAGATATTGGAGCTACTACTCCTGGGAAGATGGGGTAGATGTTTTTCCTATTCTCTCTCTCACTATGTACATGTAAAAACCATAGAGATTGTGCATAAAACAATCACAGGGGGACTCTGAAAAGCAGAGAGAGGACAGCAGATAGGCTAGGGACTTGGGAACCCAAGAATGATGACACAAGGGTGAGTTTTCTGGGCTTCCTTTTTAGCTCATATATTCCAGACTTGGATGAAGCTTGCATTCTGTAAATGAGAAGTGCAAATGAACAGAGACAATAAAAGCCCCAATGTTCATGTACCTGTAATCCCAGCACTCTGGGAGGGTGAGACAGGAGGACCACAAGTTCAAGCCCAGCCTGTCTGAAAAATTTAAGAAAATATTTTAATAGGCTGTATATGTAGCTCAGTGCAAAGACCTATTGTCCAATCCCCAGAACCGCACAAAAACACAAAAGCCCCAACAAAAGTCAGCTGTCTTTAGCTAAGGACTGGGAAAGGGGTTTGGTAGGAAAAAAGAACTTTAACTTTCAAGTTAAAATTTTCAGTTTTCATTGAAATTGAACACTTTGGTTATTATTCTGCTGCAACCAATGATCACAGGAAAAACTAGGTCCACCATCACCCAGGCCAGGAAATGCAAAAAATGAGAAGTAGCTACAATCTGGGGAGTAGCCAGGCTGTTACAAGTGTCCCCAACTTCCTGTTACTGTGCTGTCAGAGAAGACTGAGTAGAGAGCTCTGATCTTCATCTAAGCCAAATGGCTATAAGCACCTGCCTCGTCAGTATTGGTAGAGGCTGAACTTTCACCTCCACCGAGCAATGTAGAGGTGCCCTTCCTTCCCCATGCCAGGGTAGTGGACCCTATGGGAAGCCAGGGTTTCACCAGCACCCCAAGATAATGAGCCACCTCCTTGTACTGTGAGGCCAGTGAAGGACACATGGCAAGCAATAACCAGTACCCCTACCCTGCTGATCAAGAGAAGCCCTCATGGGGAGCCAGAACTTTCATATCTGCCCCAGAAGATGCACTGTGATGTCAGCAGGTACCAAAGGGGGAACTTGGGCTCTATCCCATCTGCCAGTAATAAAGTAGCACCTCCCTTTCCCTGTCAAGCCCATGTTTAAATCATCTGGCCAAAACAGGTATAAATAGGATCCAGATTATCACATAATAACCAAAATGTTCAATTTCAATGAAAACTTTTCATACTAAGAATCAAGGAAATTTTAACTTAAAAGTGAAAGATAACAGATGCCAACCCTAAAATGTTAGAAACATCAGAATTATCTGTAAAGATTTTCCAAGCAGATGTCATATAAATGCCTCAATGATTCAGGAAGTTGAGCTGCAAACCCCAAACAAGATAAGCTCAAAGAAATTAACTCCAAGACATATCGTAGTAAAACTTTTGTAAACTAAAGATTAAAAAAAAATCTTAAAAGCAGATATGGAAAAACAACACTAACTTAACTCTAAATTTGAATGACAGTGGATTTCTCATCAGACACTACGAAGGCCAAATTTTGAGGTGATGTAAAATTTATTCAAATGCTAAAGGCAAAGACCTGTCAGTTCATAATGCAATATCCACAAAAATATCCTTCGGGATCAAGACATTCTCACATGAAGGAAATTAAGAGAATCTGTCAGCAGCAGATCTACCATAAAAGAATAGGTAAAGGAAGCTCTCTATAAACAAAAAGAAAATGATAAATAATGTTAAAACATTAAGAATATCAAAGAATATCAAAAGAAAAAAAACTACAGTAAAATCAAGGGTCTTTTTGTTTTTATCTTGAGTTTTCTAAATTATGTTTGAATTTGATATTTGAAGCAAACATTATGACACTGTCTGATGTGATTCTAACTTTATTTGGAGGATTTGTTTAAGATAATCAGATTACAAATTGAGGAAATATAGTTATGTAAAGGAAGGTAAGTTTCTATATTTTACCTAAATTGGTAAGTCCATATTAGTAGACCATGAAAAGTTATGTTGAATATAAGTTCTAGAGCAATCACTAAAAGAGATATCAAAGAGAAACAGACAGAAACAGATAAATTAATATATTTCTAAAAATGATCTAGTAATCTACAAATTTTCAAATAAATAGAAAACACAAATAATAAACAACAAAAATAAATAAATAAATAAATACCAAACCTGACATTAATTATGCTAAATGTAAATTGTCTAGACACAGAGAGATTAGAAAACAGATTGTCAGAGTGAATTTTAAAACGTAACTTTAGTATATCCTACTTTATCTCAAATATAATGTATAGAGAAGTTGAAAGTAAAAGGGGTTTGGAAAAAATACGTTGCAAAAAAAACACTAAAACAACACGCAGGATTTGGAGGCAGATTTATTGCATCTTGATGGGCACTGATTTGGATCATTCCCAAAATATCAGGCCCTGATCTCTGGTGGTCCAGGGCTTATATAGGATAAGCAAGCAGGAGGTACAGAGCCAGAACGGCTTGTCAATTGGGGATTGGTTCTTATAATATGCATCATAGTGGCCAACTATGCATCACAGTGACCAGCCATTTCTAGGAAACAGAAGCAACCAGAACTGCACCAGGAACAATTACCTGGACACCTAAGAAATTGAAGCATACTGACTAGGGAGGCGGAGAGCATGTTCTGCTACAACGTCACACAAACTTTAATCAAAAGAAAATTGAATATTTGATAAAGTAAATAGTGCAAAGATAAGTACCAGAGCTAGGAAGGATATTATAAAATGTTTAAAAAGAATCAGTGTAGGCTGGGCATGGTGGTGCATGCCTATAGTCCCAACACTCAGGAAGCTGAGGCAGGAGGATCTTGGTGAGTTTGAGACCAGCCTGGGCTACATAGTGAGCTCAAGGCCAGCCTGAACTGCATAGTGAGATCCTGTCTCAAAAAGACAAAAAAAAAAAAAAAAAAAAAAAAAAAGAATCAGTGTGTCAAGAAGACATAACAATCCTGCATCAAAATGCACCAAACAATGGAGCTGCAAGATATATGAAGCAAAACCCAATAGGACTTGAAAGGAGAAGTAGACAAATCCACAAGCTGGAGACCAGCACCCTTCTCTCAAGGAACAACTAGACAGAATATTAACGAGAATATAGAAGGACCTGATAACACCATCCACCCAGAGAATCTAGTCAAAGTTCATAGAAGACCCCACCCAGCCTGTGTAAAGCTTTCTTTTTAAGTAGCTATGGAACAATACAAAGATTGAGGATGACTTCACATGCCTCCACAAATTTAAAGAATATTAGGTAGCTCACAGATCTCCAGGAGGATCAGAGAGTAAGGCATGACAATTTTCCCATTGCTATGGTTTGGATGTCATTTGTCCCCTAAGAGTTTAAGTGCTGGGAGCTTGGTCTTCAAAGTGCACCTTTAAGAGGTGGGGCTCAGTGCAAGTTTATCGAGTCAGTAAGGGAGCTGCTGTAGAAACCTATTAATGTAAGTCTCCTAAGATACTGGATAATTCTCTTGAGAGAGTTATTGCAAAAGAGCAGGACTGGGTCCTCTGCAATTGCCGGCTTACTGCCTCCACATGTGATTCCTATCACATGTATTCCTGTCATGATGTCATCCACCACAATGTGATGCAGCTGAAGGGGCCTCTCAAGCACAAGGACCATGCTGCTTGGGCTTTCCATCTCCACAACTGT